TTAATCTGTTTTTTGCAGAGGGATGTTGTGTCTTTAGATTGTTTTCTTATGTTCCAGATAGCCTTTGGTTCTAGTCATTTTCAGTAGGCAACAAAATTCAAATGGCATCTTATTTGACATTTTTGTCAAAGCTGCATGTGTTGCTGCATAGTGATGCAATTTTTGGGGGAAGGGAATGTTTTCGTTTATGAAGAATTCTCCTTGTTGAACATCCTAAATTGATATTTAGCTGCCAAAAAGGATTCAATCCATGGTCAGTTTTATTGGAAAATAAAAACCAGCACACACACAAAAGTAGATGTTGTAATAAGGACAATGTGATTTCGGTTTCTTGCATGTTTGGCAGCCACAGAATTACACTCTTACATTAGACAAAGTGGGAAACTGTCTGGAGCCACAAACAGGTATAATGCTAAGGCGTTTTAATACATAAAAACATATTGCTATTCTTTGACTCGACAATAAATTATAAAAATGCCCTAAAACCTTTTCTTTTAAACAATGACAATTCAGAAAACACCACTTGGTGTAGCAGCAAGCTAGGGGAGCAGTTTATAAGAAGGAACAGAGGAAAAAACAAGGTAAACGCTTGCATCTAACGCAATCGATAACATCTGTAATACCAATAACATTCTCTGGGAGAGAAAAAGGCATGAGGGAGGCTCCATTCCTGCGTTAGCCACAAATCACTAACAGTACCCCACTTTGCCAAGTCAAAATCTAAGATGTTAGATTGTTGTTAAGTTTACCTGCTGTTTCTGCTGGCAGCTGCATCACCACCATCACATAACTTCAACAAAAAAATAAAGGCAGGCATGTTTACTGTGATGGATCACACACCCAAACCATGTTTTAGATCTCTGCGAGTTGGATTTTATTGCACTGTAATGAGATGAATTGGAACCAATGCCTGCCTAAAAAAGTAAGACACTAAACACAAGATTTACACTGAAAGACATTCAAAGTGAGGCAAAGAAGAGGAGAAAAATGTATGATTTGATTGACTTTATTTGTAAGGCACCAGAAGTCCTTCCTTACTGCAGAACATTTCATATTATTTATAGTAAATGTTTGTTGTACTTTTTATAGTTTTTTTTGTTTGTTTATTTGTTTAAATGAAGCTATGATTTCAGACACAAAACATTTTTTTTTTGCCAAAGTACACACTTTCAGGTTTTACATTATACACAAAATAAGTATTTAAAAAAAGACCTTTACAAAGCTCAAAACGCTTACAATGCTTCACGCTATGGGGGCAAAAAGTTGGGAAGGTGGGATGTGGCATGGGAGTAAAGGGGATGAGGTGGGTGGGAAGGGGGGTGGGGGTCAGAGACAAGGAAAGGGTTCAAAGGGCAAAAGGTCAACGTACTGCAGTTTCCCCCCTGGTGTCACATCAGTTTTGTAACACAATAGCACAAGAATCATCCAGGACAGACAAGAGAAGATGCAGCCATATACACATAAAGCTTTCTATGTATAACTGTATACAGAGGTGAGCACCTCCTACTACTTTAACAAATACATAGAATTTAATTTGTATGTTTATAACGCCAGCTTTGTAATTCTGGTTCTAGTTCATATCGATTCATATTTAAAAACAAAGAGAAAAAAAACAAACAAACAAACAAAAAACAAGTGCATTGATCACAGAAAATTTGGACTAAACATTCTTTTTTTTAAAAATGTCTCCACTAGAAAGAAATCAATCTCAGTTTCCCTGCAGACATGCACTGATGTGTGTGTTTGTGTGTCGCTTTGTCTACATGCTCTGCATATCACTACAACAAGTACAGTATGTAGCTAGATGGGAGGACGATGTGCTGCGAGCTTAATTCACAAGCAGAATAGCACGTTAGCGTTTGTAGTAAGAACAGCAACGCGATTCATCTCTGTGGTTTATCACTGACTGCCAAACCTGTACAACTGTTTATACACACCTTGTTCACATACATACACAACGATGGGCATCATTGAAGGAGTCACCCCACCAATGTCATCGACAGAGTATCATCTAAACTTTTGGACACATGAAGGGTTTTATTCTGAAATTCCTTTATATTTAATTTTTGTATTTTTTCCTTCCTGAATTTCCACTGCCAATGTATCAAAATTGCACATGAATCAGCATTTTTATGAGCAAATGTCTTATGGTTATTAAAACAATAAAATGTTCTTCATCATTGTGCCAGAAATCATTTTAAGTAGTGTTAAAAGGATTGTTTGAATGAAACTCTTCATATCTATTCACGAAAGGGTGTGTGTTATGATGCACAGGCTGTCTTCAAATCAACAATCACACAAACACAGTTCATCATTAGACTGATAGTGAATCAGACAATCTTTGTGAACAACAGCATCAAGGTAAGAGGTTTGATTACCAGAGGCTACTCTGCTGGAAATATATGCGTTTGCAAAACACCCTAAACATTTGCAAAGAGGGGAACATGCTGAATTTCATCCTTTCTCAACTTGTCATCTCACACAGGTGTTTTCACTTATGCTGCCTAATTAGACCTCTTCCCAGGACTCTGCAGGTGACTACGAACTGTGCCTGATTGACATCTCTCTTACACTTCTCATAGTTTTGTTGTACCTGTTACGCGTTTGTGTCATATCGGAGTTACAGCTTGGGAAACTGTGGAAATCTGAACTCTGACATATCTGACTTTGCCCTTAATAATACAGATGCTTGAAAGCCTAACGAACATGAATGCCTCATGTCAGCCAGAATCCATCGCAAAAAGTAATCAAACCCTAGCCTTTGTAGACTGCAAAGGCCGAACCGAAATGAGACGGTGAGGTCTACGGAGGGTCACCAGCTATGCCCGCCGTTAGTTAGCGTCGCAAAGCGAGGCTCCCTTCGCCTAACAACATTGACAACACAACTTTTTTTTTTTTTTTTTTTTAAACAGAAACTTGAGTTTCTAAGGCCCTTGGTTTTAACCGTTGTACAGTTTAGCTGTTGGACTGAGCTAAATCCAATACTTACATTTGTTGTTGCTGTAATCCTCAGGTTCACTGTTGGCTTTCATTAGCGGTTCGCAATGAATCATGGGATAGATTGGGCCATTTTCCCCAGGAAAAGAAGGACGCATTTCTTGGCGGGATTTGAAGGAGCCTTCGAAATGGGACAGCATAGTCGCGCGGCTGTGACGCAATCGGTCTCTAAATGCAGCCTCTGAAGGATGCTGCCCCTGAATTGGGACACAGCTTTTCTGAACACACTCCCCCATTCACTGTTCCCTACACTATAAACAGTCATTAGGTTACTATAAAGTGAGTAATCTTTTTTTTCTTTTTGCTTTTATTCAAACGTAGCCATTAAAGGAATGAGAGGAAATTATGGAAGAATGAGGGGGAGAATAAAATGCAGCAAAACTCCTCTGCATAAGTCAAGCTGGGGACATTGTAATTACACTGTATGGTGCGTGTTTCAACCGCTGACAGGGTACTATAACGTTGACAGAGTTCTTATACTCAAATAAAATAGCAGAAAGTACATGTAGTGCCAATGTCAGCAAATGAAGAGAGATTATAGACACAGCCAGAGTTTAGTGACATCACATTATTAACCCAACTTCCACCTGACGAGGTCTAATCAGACACAGTAACTGAGTCATTGAAAACACCTGTGTAGGTGTGGAGGGCTGAGGGAGATCAGAGCTGAGGAAGCTTTCGGTGCTTCATCTGTCTGATCTAAATTGATATCAGTTTGTTTGATCATGGAGATTTCCCACTCACTGTTGTACGTAGATGTCCAATCGTCTATATAATGTAGTGGTAGTTCAAGTGTGGTGGTGAATCAAAACGCAAAGTATAAAGTTGAATTTGCAGAGGGACCATGTTTCCGTCTTAATACAGGGACAGAGATGTTCCTTGAGAAAGACCAAGGACTATTCCTCAAAAATCATGGCAGAGACTGGGACTGACCGCATGCAGAGATTAATGTCACCAGTCTGGTCTCTGTATATTAAGTTTGTACACATTCCCCTTGTGACACAGCCTGTACTCTGTCATTGTCATTGTCCTCTCCTTGTTTTGGCTCAGGCCTGAACCCGTCTAGGACGTTTCTTCAAAGACGCACGCTGCCCTCTGCTGTCAAACGCACTACATGCACACTCTCTCCTCTCAAGTCTCTGCTCTAATATTAGTGCACATTAAGGATAAGAAAGGTGGTGGGAGGGTGCACGAGTCAAGTGGCACCTCTGTTGTTTTTGTTGCTACCTCAGCTCTGTTTAACTTCTGATGAAAAATGTCACCTTTCAGTTAAGGTGCTGGGCGGATTTATCTGACATATCTCACAGGGTCAGGCAAGGATCGTAAGTCGGGGGGATTACTTACTAAGGTGGGTTTGTTATCTAGTCTGACAGCTCTCAGCATGAAGTTTGCTCTAAGAAGGTGCTTTTCCTTTCTCCATATAAATTTAGGATTATACACAAAATCTCTAGTTTGTCTGGAGGTGTCTTCTCATTACAACAATTCTGCTCTACAAGCAGCAGTTTTTGGTTAGGATGTGACAGTAGCTGTAGAAAGCAATATTTCTTTCGCTTTAGCTCGGGCATTAGGGCAATATTTAAACATTTCTCTGATCCATAACAATCCACCGTTTAAACTCACAGCCAACTTTTAGCTTGGAATGAACGCATGCAATTTGAACTGGCAAAGAGAAAAAAAACAAAAAAAAACAAAAAAACAAAAAACAAAACAAAACAAAAAAAAAACAACACTACTGATCTCTGTGAGACCTTATCTTAGGAAAAGTTAGTTGTAGGACTCCTGTGTTGTGTGCGACAAGTTTTACAGCTTGCCAAAGAATCCCTTTGTTTAACATTTAGCCTGTTTTGACACCAACAGTATGGTGCGTTCAGTCTCACAGGTCAGTGCTGCCTAAGAACGACCCGCTTAGAACAGAGGCAAGAGGTGGGGGAGAGTGAGAGGAAGAGAGGCATGGAGGAAAAAAAAAAAAAAACAGAAACTAAACAGGAAGAAGAACTGAGAGACAGAGCTACAGGATGGCAGGAAGCAACAGAAATAGAAAGTAGTCCTGATTTTAAAAAAATAAACAGAAAAACAAAGCTTAATCGTATACAAAAAAATAGTGTGTTTGAAGAAATTACACAGGATACATGAGGGAGACACTGTGATGGTGAGAGGAGAGAAGGGGGGATAAAGAAACAATCCAGGTATGGTAAATATGAAGGAATCAGGACTGGTCTGACATGAGGGGCAGGTGCCATATCTCCCCCAATTATGGAAGTTGGTTAGGAATCTGTAGCTGGAGCTGTGGTGATGGTGGTGATGGGATTAAAGCCCATGTTAGCTAAGGTCGGATAGAGGGAGACCAGGGGAGAGGCTGTAGGCCAAGGGGGCTTGGATCTGGGGATTCAGGTCTCTGGATAAAAACAGAGCTGAATGGGAACATCATCTAATCAGACTTGTCTCCGTCCTCCTCACGGTGGCTGTCAACTCCATCACGTGACGCCTTCTCCTCCTTGGCCAGCTGGGCTTGGGAGGCCAGCAGGGAGGAGAGGGAGAAGAGACTGGAGGAGGTGGTGACAGCGGGGAGGGTCGGTTGGCTCAGGCCCAGAGGCAGGGGGGTCATAGGCAAGGCCAGGCCCTGGAGCTGAGACAGCTGGTGAGCCTGGAGCTGCTGCTGCATGGAAGACAACCAGACACAACTTAGACACAGCAGGACGGATACGGCACACAAATCACTGCAAAACACTGACACTGTAGGATATGCAAAATCTGCAATGCACAGACCTAATATATGTCACAACTTGAGTTTAATATATAATGCCTGAGGCGCAGCACTAATAGCTCAAGCACAATAGGACAGATGGATAGCTAAAATACATGCTTGGTAGAAGATGGAAAATCTGAAGCATACATAACTTATTTATAATAGATTAAATTTTAAATATATAATTCCAAGAAAACAACGCAAACACCAAGAAAAAGGTGAAGCATATGCAGAGGGAGGGAGTGATATGGTATTAAAAATGAAAAGATGTCCAGACACACATAATCAAAACATAAAATGACACATATATCAAATACACATAAAAACCTACCATGGGAAACACATGTATTTCATTTTAATATAAAAGACAAATAGTTACTGCCAGGCCTCTGCACTTTAATCACCCCCCACTGTGCTCACACTCAACATGATGACACATCAGTGGGCTGATGTTTATGACAATACTAACTGACTTCTCGTAAACAGCATCTAACTGCCCAAGTTTACTCAGCCTCTGCTTCACATTCACAAGCAGAGCTCCAATGCTACTTGTCCTGCAAGAATATATAAGTATTTATGGTGATATCAGCGGCTATCAAAAGAAGATATTGATAGTAATCAGAAAATGGATAAAATGGTGTGGCTCCCAGTAAGGAAAAAAGGTCCAATCCCAAATACAGGCCTATGCAGACCTGTACCCTGTATCTAAAGCAGCAGACACAAAGGTGAATCACAATGATGGAGTGGCTAGGCTAGCTAACACTAGACCCATAGTAAAATGATAGAGTGGATACCCGATCTAATACTAAATGTCTGGTAAAATGATGGAGTAGCTAAGCTAGCGAGCACAAGGCTGATAATGATAAAGTATGTGTAGCTGACTAACACTACAGCCACAATTTTTTACTGTTCAAATAATTGCACCCATGTAAATGGACAATCCATGCCTCAGGTCAGAGGGTACCACAGTATTGAGTGGAGTATTCTCTGATATTTGAAAAAAAAAAAAGAAAAAGAAATTTAAGCCACAAAGTTTACACGTTAAGATCACATCACTCATCATGCTAAGAACTACGTAGCCTGTAAAAAAAGCCAACTGTGTAATGTCTTCTGTGGGTCTGAAGGAGCTGTGTCACATCAGAGTAACCCTGATGATGTCATCAGGCCAGGCATTCGAGTTCAAAAGACGTGGGCATGTATAGGAAGGTAGAGTCTAATGAAAGATGCTCCTGAGTTGCAGTATGGGAATTTAAACTAGACATGCAAGTATCAGTTGATTAATCGATTAGTCGATCAACAGAAAAAGCAACTATTTTATTGACTGAATAATAGTTTAAGTCATTTTAAAAGAAAAATGTCAGTTGTTCCCCAGTCCCAGTCTGTCATTTGAAGATCTCTGCTTTTCTTAGTCTTATGATGATAAATCCAATATTTTTTATACTTTATATTTTGTAGCTTTTGGAAAACAGGCAATGTGATGACATCACTTTGGACTGCAGGAAATGATTACAGACATTTTTCACAGTTTTCAGGCATTTCAGATACAAAAAAATGAAGCAATAATGGGAATAATTATTTGTCCAAAGTAGGAACTTAAATGTCAGAATAATACAGAGCTGCATCAAGTTTGACAATTTCTTTTTCTGTCATTTGCAAGTCCCTTGTCTTAACAGAAGTAAAACTTTGAGCCATATTAATAAAGATTATTATAATTATCATTACTGGAATACTAAATCACTGTAAAAGTCCTACAGGAGTAGTCCTATAAAAAATTCCTTTGAACTGATCTGGATTAACAAAAACTCATTGAAAACAACAAATAAATGTAATGTTTCACAAAGCTAGTATTTATTAGAGGATTGTTGTTTATTCATTTTCACTCAACACTGACATAAGTTTTGAAAAGGTTTTTTTTTTTATTGCACTGTTTTGAAAAAACTGAAGCCTGTGATGTGAGCGTCACTGATTCTTTCATCACCAATGTCTGTTCTTTGGCATTAACGTGCTATTTAAGTGCATAAATCAGAAAAGTGACGACATATTAAGAAAACCATTGCAATACTTGAGTATATAAATATCAATTTGCCCACACTTAGATTAACCACTACATTAATGATTATAGATAAAGAAGCAGGGTGAGCTTAATTTGTCCAACTCATTTCAAAGCTAATTGTTGAACATTTCACAAACAATTAACAAATAAATAAAGGTCATAAAAGAAAAAAAAAGAATTGATGTTAACAATCAATAATTGTGCTTTTTCAGCCATCACAAGACCTAAGACGGGCTGAGGCTGGAACATCGTACCCTTATGATGGAGTTCATCTCTGGGGGGGTGACCTGCTTGGCCCTCTCTATGGCCGCCAGGACCTGCTGCTGGTGCTGGAGACAGCGGGTGGGGGTGGGGGGTGGGGTGGGGGTGAGTGAATATGAGAGGAAGAAAGTAAGGGAGACAATAAAATTGAAGCAGAAACAAGGGAAGGAGAGTTTGTGGGGAGAGAGGTGGAAAGGTTAGATCAATATCAGTAGTCCCAACAGAGACCCAACAACCCTCTCTGGTGATGCCCCCACCCCGCACCCCCCATCTTTCAGCTATTCATCCACACACACACACACACACACACACACACACACACACACACACACACACACACACACACACAAAAGGCTTCTTGTGTGACACTGGTGAATGTATGGTCGGCTGGTGTGCTGTAATGGGTGGAGGTCAACCCCCTGGTGGGCAGATAAGAGCATGGCTTATCTGAATCACACAACCATTTATTACGCTGACACACACAAACACACACATGTATAAAGGAAAAGAGGAGTGGGATGGAGGAGGCTGCGAGGGGAGGGAGGGACAGAAGAGGGGAGTGGAAGCAGTGGTCAAAAAGGGAGGGGGGAAGGGAAGACAGAAGACTGGGAGGAGGGGGCAGATTGAATGTGGCAGAAAGTCAAGGTGGGGGAGGGAGGAATAAAGCGAAAGTGAGATGGAAGGGAACACAGGAAGCGCGTGATGATGAATGGCGGGAGGAGAGAAGTACAGAGGAGAGAAGAGGAGGGAAGGAAGCTGAGAGAGGGGTCACAGAGGTGGAGAGGTAATGAGGCGGGAATGAGGATGATCTCATTCCAGGATGTAAGGAATAGGGCGAAGGGTCAGGGGGTTAGTGACGTCTTTGTGTCAGTGTGTATGTGTAAGTGTGTGTGTGTGTGTGTGTGTGTGTGTGATTACCTCCTGAGACAGGTAGGGGAGGACTTGTGCGCAGATCCCGTTCAATCTCTTCACTATCTCAGCCTGTGGAGAGAGACTCATTTAGTTCAAGGACAATATGGGCAGTATTTGAATTTTCTGTTACTGTCAACAAATCCCATGAAAAGAACAAAACCAATGATGAGTTAGTCCGTCTCTTAATATTTTTCCCTTCCCTCTCTGTGGCACTTAGCCCTAAGCCTATTGATTCCTTCTTAAGATGTTCACATTATAAATGGGCAAATGTATAGTTTCATTTTTTTTAAGAAGGCTAAATAATTTCCTAAAACAGCTGTGTACATTTCGTTTACATTTACTCATTTGCCAGATGCTTTTATCCAAAGAGACTTGCAAGTGAGGGACAATCCAAATAGTGGATTTGTATTTTCAGATGCTGATGAATACACATTTATTATTCTTGAGAGTATTTAATAAAATACAGTGCCCGTGTTCATCATAATGACAGAAATGTACGTACAAGGGACAGACGAAATAGCACAGGTAGGGTTGAAAACATAAACTGTGCCTGATTGTATGGCTAACATGCTAACAACAGCAGCAACAGCAGTGTTGATTTCGTAAAAAAAAAAACTACGACGAAATATGTTCTGCAACCTTTTTTTACCAAGATGAGACAATGATGAGACAGCATCGACATCGATAGACACTGTGTCAGTTAAAACTTTAAATGAAACTGTTACTATATCAACATGCAATAAAAAAAGACGAAACTAAAATGTCATTTAAAATATAAAAGCGTTACCAAAATGTCTTTTTATTTTTGTTGAATGCAATACTGGTTTGGTCTTCTTGTAGGATTTGTTGACAATAAAAAAAATATAGAATCACATCACTATTCTCATACTTTAAAACCTCATTAAATATAAATTGTCATTCAGCGATTCAAACCACACTCTCATTGGTATGGGAAACATCTGCTATGACCTTCTCAAACTGGGGCACACATATCTTGCATCATACACATGAACACACACACACACACACACACGCACCATCACAGTTGCACATATCAGCCATATCAGAATCCCTTTATCAGTTCATTAATTAAGTTGCTTGTACCTAATACTCTTTCTCAAAACTCTCTCAAAACACACACACACACACACACACACACACACACACACACACACACACACACACACACACACACACAATGTAACAATCATCCAAGCCAGCACGCACACACCCGTTCCTCTTTCTCGTCATGCACACTTCCTATCTTTCTCACATGCAGGTCTATTATCACATTTGGTTGGTAATCATCCAATCCGTCTGAGATATGCAAAGCAGCAGTAATTGTGTTAGAGCCTAATTCGTAGCGCGATGAGGAGAGAGGGGCCCTCCTAACAGTCATTAGGCATGCAGAGCACAGCTCCCCATCAAGCGCTTCACTCCTATCCGCTCATCATTACACATACACACTCCCTGACATCTCTGAAATGTCTCTCTAAAATGTCTCTGCGGGACTCGCTCCATGCTAACTATGACTCTTCCTCTTTTTCAGTGCCCTTTATGCTGTCTATCTCTTTTTTCCCCAACTCTGCGTCTGTCTCTTCTTTTATTCGTGCTCTTTATCATCTTCCTCTCTGCGTCTCTCCCTCAGCTTTTTTTTTTTCTATCTGAATGCTTGTTTCTTTCTTTTGTCATCTCTTTACATTTTTCTTTGCTTCTTTCCAGCCTTCCTCAAGTACTACTGAAGCACACATTCACTGACAAGAGCATTATATGTGTACACAGAAAACATACACAATACAAAACTGGACTGGGAGACCGGACAAAGACATGAAGGATCGGCAGCAGACTGAATTAATTGCTGCTGTAGATGTCTGCCTTTTTTTTTGCCAATTTAAATAAGCTTTATCTTTTGTCACTTGAAAAACGTAGGCTCAAAAGGGAAAACAAACACAGAGACAAAAATGTGTTTGAGTTGATTTAAAATGTGTTTCAAGGAAGCACGGAAGGCAGCCTAAACAAACCTAACATTTCACAAAAATGCCTCGGGGTGTCCTGGTTTTCTCTCTGTATGAGCTTCACTATTTGAGTGTCTCGTGCTACTGCTTCCTGCCAGGAGTACACCAGGACTTGATACTTTTAAATATCTCAGAAAGATCCAAAACCTAAAAATGCACTGTACTTTCACATTTAAAAGCTCCATTTGAATCTACATCAGGCACAATCACAAAACCTTTTACTCAAGTCCTGTTCTTAAAAACTATTTTTAGGCACTTGTACTCGTACATTTTGTATACATTTGTACTTCTACTTACATTTGAGAGAGAAGTATTGTACATTTACCCCCCCTTGTGTTTCTTGTTTGTCCCCAGTTTGTTTCCCTCTGTGTTTGTGTGTGTCTGCTAGGCGCAAGTCCCCACCGGATGAATGATGAATATGTCAGGAGCTGGCTATACTGTATTGTATATATAATGATGTCTGCTTGACAAGACAATGTACGTTGCTTTATACACACAATGAAAGCTCCTCCACTGTAAACTATGCACTCAAAATAAACAGACGGGTGACAAATTGAAGGAAAAACCAGCATAAAGTGTCTTAGGGCTGCCAGATCAGCTTCAATTGATTCTACAAGTCTCTGAACTCCACAGAGATTCGCAACCATAGATGGCATATCATGTCCTCCATCTCCAAACCCTTCTTTAATAACCACTCCCATTGGGATAGAAACTATATATCATAGGATAAAGGTGATCACTCAGAACAACTTTATACTGATTTGCAGTGACCGTTCCCTCTGAGGGACAAGTGGACCCAAACCATGCCAGCAACATGCCCCCCACAGCATAACAGAGCCACCAGATCCCCTCACTGTAGGAGTCAAACGTTCAGGTCTGTACTGTTCTCTTAGTGTATACGTCACACATGCACTCGCCCACTTGTCAAGAATAAGGATGACTCATCTGACCAAATATCTTTTTCCACATCTCTGTAGACCAGTGTCTATGATATTTGCACCACTCAACTCTCACATGTGCATTAATCTTTGTAACGAGGGGTTTATGCGCTGCAACCTTACTATAATGTCCCTCTCTATGTAATTGTCGATGGACTCTTCTTGCTGACACTCTGATCACGTCCTGCATTGACATTCTCAGTGACCTGAGGAAGGGTTCCTCTTCTGTTTGTCCTTACATATCGCACAAATGCAAGAGTATCACCGTCATCAAATGTGTTGAACACAATTCACTGATGTCTTTCCCATAGATCTAACACTCACTAGTGGGCCAGTCTTTGTGACTGAAGCTCCTGTGCCCCAACAATAAACCCTCTTTCAAAGTCACTTAGACCTTTTCCTCTTGCCATAAAATTTATATAAAATCTCAATATAAAATCAGAACCAACCGGGCCTACTCAGCATGTTTATACCTGCCACAGAGGTATGATTGGATGTTAACTGCTTAATTGTACCATACAGTGCACCTGTGTGGAAGCATCTGCATTCGTTATGTTTCTCCACTCATTTATTCAGGTTTCTCTTTTAATTTGTCACCTGTCTATGGATGAATATGTTGTCAGGTAGGACACACATGTACGGGAAGAAAAACATGGTAAAAAGCAGAGCAACAGAAAGACAAAGAGGACCCAGCAATAATACATTTCCATTCAACATATTCCCATTTCAATCCACAACTCAACCTTGCTTCTCCTCACCAAGACAAAACAGAGAGAAACATAGAGCGAGAAGAGACAAGAGAACAGAGAGAGAGGGAGTGAACAGACAGAGTGGAGAGGCATTTTTTGAATTGAGTAGGACAGAGTGATCAAGAGGGAGCAATTGAATGTGTGAGAGTGCAAGAGAGAAAGAAAGAGAGGGAAATAGAGACAGAGGTGGAGAGAGGAGGAGGAGGAGCAGAAGAGGAGGAGGGGGCTAGCTCTGCACAATAGGCCTAGACATGAATGCTCCTCGACACTCGTTTCCACACATCCCCTTCAATTTCTCTCTAATGGAACTAGCGACTCTCCGCACCCACTCACATTGTGCACAAAGAAAGCATGAACACGTGCACACACATGTGCGCGCACACACACACACACACACACACACACAGTCAACAGGAGCACAAATGAACAATAACACACAACAGCTTATGAACATGTGCCAGTAACACACACACACAAATATATAAGCATATGCGCTAATAGAGATGGGCACATTCACTCACACACACAAACACACAGACATATGAAACAACACGTACGCAAACACACAAGCACAATGACTGTGAATTTCATCCCTGTCAGATAAAGGAAAAGGGGGGTGATGAATCACACACATAAGGCCAAGTGTGCATGTGTGTGTGTGTCTCTCTGTGTGTGTGTGTGTGTGTGTGTGTGTGTGTGTGTGTGTGTGTGTGTGTGTGTGTGTGTGTGTGTGTGTGTTTGCCCCGAATGTATCACAGTGCCTGTGCTGTGCCTCCTACCTAAGAGTTTGTGTGGGTGCATATTTGTGAAGGTCTTTAAATCATGGAAGCTGCTACTTCTGTATGTGTGTGTGTGTGTGTGTGTGTGTGTGTGTGTGTGTGTGTGTGTGTGTCCATTTGTCAAAGCACACTCGGTTCTCCCAATATGGCTGTCAGCATGCGCCGTCAATCATAAGACAGTGTGTGTGTTTGTGTGTGTGGACGGGCAGCACCAGACGAGGTCACCGATAAGGGCTGGCCCTTCGGAGGCCCATCGCTCTCTCCCTCCTACAGGCTGAGCATAAATTACTCCCCCAGCTTCAGCCACACAAACTGATGTATGAACATCTACTTCTCACCCCTCCCCTGCCTGTGTGAAGGCTTCCTTTTCTTTTCTGTTTCAAAATGCTTTGCAGGATCCAACATCAGTGCTTTCATTTGATTTGGGAAAATGATAACTGTTTGTTTTTGCATGTAAAAGAGAATACTATTGCAGAAATTAAATGTCTGCCAAATACATATAACCGTTGTATAAATGAAGGTTTGTTGCCAATATCAACATCCACATTGTAACAAATGACTGTGCAGCCAAAACTATAATGGACATTTTTGTGCAAATCCTAAAGACTTTACTTCCTTATACACATTCCCATACTCACCACAGCTGTAATACTGTGTGTGGAGTGGAAAAAAAACTGATCTGGCAACAGCAAAAAGCTAAAGCCCTTGGCGCTTGGATTTTACACACAGCCTCAGGTGACATTATTCAGACGTCCCTGAACACTCTCAGATTGTCTCTGCAATTCACACCTGCCAATCAGTGAGCTGCAGGTGTGTAGTGGGGGAATGGGGTTGGGAATGTACATCTGCACCTGCATCAACAGAGTAACAAAGTGTGAGGAGTTACTTCAGATGTTCAAGGTTCTGGACGTATGTCTTATTCAGCTTTTTTTTTTTTTTTTATCTCATAGATGATGTCAGATGATTGGCAGCTGGAGCGCCTCCAAGGTTTTGATGGCCATGAAACTCTCCCAGTTGAATCACCATTATGAACAACAAGCAACTGTGATAAATGGACTGCAATGAAGGACTGGTAGTCCTTGAGACTTCATCCAATCACAAAGTTTAAAATTATGCTGTCCGCACCACTAATGGCGGGCAAAAGTTAAAAAGCTCTTGGTGGTTTCTCTGTCAAAGGGAACATTTTCTAATACACACCTGGTGCAGACTGGTGCATAAGAGAATGAAGATACGGAAAAGATGTAGTGAATTTCTGTTAACTGTCAGTGGGTGAAAAGGTTTAGTGAAAAACCAGCATTTCAATCACAGACTCTTCTTTGGCTTCTTCATAGCAACAGCACCATGGCCACTGTAGTATTACAATCTATATTGCAGCCATTTGCCCTCAGCAAAAAAATGGCCAAATCATAATCATAATGTGTAGCATAGTGAATAATCCAGGAGACTCCTGTGTTTGTAGAAAACAGTGTTTCTCATACATTGATATATTTGTAGCGGCCCGCCACAATATCGACATTGACCGCCGCATATTGATTTTCTATATTGAAATCTTATTTTATAGTAGAGCTGTGCCAAGCGCATTGATTCGCTCACCCAAAATGTAATCAATCCAAACAAAACATGTGTCAATTTGTTTGACACAACATGAAGCAATGGAGCTGTACATATTGATCAGTTACTTATTTGTCACAAATACATGACAATTAAAATATTTGCAGTGGAGCACCTTATATACAGAATTATCTAAAAATTAAGAAAGCCCTCCTCCTGTCAGCCACTGCCACAAATAGAAACTAATTCTGTGGGAAACACTGGAAAACATGCAAATAATTTACTATTACCTGTAACTCTGATTACTTTGCAATTCTAACAGGTGGAAATTATTTACAGCTTCATCTTGTGAACCAGCCATTTGCGTAAAATGGCTTTAGCCTTGAATATTTAACTGCATAGAAATTGCATACACAATTTTTTGGCATCTGGGATCAGAGAAATATGGAAATAAATACACAAATATAGACTTTCTTTTTACATCATGGAAAGTTTCACAGTCCACACTGGTACAGACTAAAACAATAGACCAGATCAGACCAGACCAGACAACAGACCAATAGCCTTTACCAACTATGGCAACATAAATACATTTAACACACTGACATATGAAGATTGCATAAACATGCATGTCTCCATCAGTTTGAATCCAGTCTGACCATAAGCAAAAAATGCATCCTTCTGTGTTCCAGTTTTTTTTTGACAAGCAATCTGGTCTTCTTGGACATACAACTGTTTTATATGTTATGTAATGGGAACAGAGTAGTTTTTTTCTATAAGGACTTAATGTAAACTCACCTGTTTGTGCATCTCAATATTGAGTCCGTAGGACATCTCATAGTACTGGAAAGTAAGAGTGAACAGGACAAAAAGAAAAATAATGTTATAACAACACAGGCATCAAATTCTTTTAATTGCTCTCAGAAAATCCTCTGCGCAGGAGCTCCATACTAACATTTTATTATGCACCATTTACAGTGTGTGACAAATCATGTGTTGTATAGTTGATTATATGGATTATACTGTAATGGGAAATCGGACTAAAACTCTCTAGTATTTGCTCAGTGTTGTTAATTGAGACAGCAAAATGTGTGTTATGATTCACAATATAAAAAAACATACAGTACACACACACACACACGTATATATATATATATATATGTGTGTATAACATAAAAATTCATAGGTGATAAAAATTAGTGATAATATTTTCCAGGCCTCCCCTGTGGATATGCAGTTCTCGCTGCAAACTAGAACTATAAATCACAAAGCTAAAATCTTGGTAATAAAAACCCAGGCTGAAAATAAACAAAATTATCCTTTAACACAAAGTAAACCCTCAACCCAACATGACACATTTATGACATCTTAATGAATCCCGAGATAGCAGATTTTGATTCGACAAACATATTCCCATTCAGAAACCCGTCTGCATGCACACATACAAACAGATGACACACAAACAGGAAAAGGAACTGAGAGAGAAGACGAGAGACAGTAGAGAAAGAGCCTCTGTTGTGTTCGTGTGTGTGTGTGTGTGTGCGTGTGTGTATGTGTGTTCAGTGTTAATGAGAGGGCCACCCTCTAGGCGTCAACCCTGTTAATCACCCACTCTGTCTGCAGGGGGACTGGCTCTGTCACTGGAAAACAAACAGCACACAGATCTCTCACACATAAATGTGCACGCAAACACGCACTGCTCCCGTCACTCGCTTGCTCTCTCTCACATGCACACGATTGTTGTTTTCTGGTCGATCTCACACTGGGTCTATCTTGTATGCGAGTACACATGTACGCGCGCACACACACACACACACACACACACACACACACACACACACACACACACACACACACACACACACACACACACACTCTCTCTCTCTCTCTCTTTTTCTCTGTAACTGCTCAGGCCCACGCAGAAGCTCCCTAAAGTAATTACAGCGCTGGGGAAATGGAGGTGCTGCCGCTGGCCGGGGGAGTGGGGCAACCTGATATGCTATTAGAGGAGTAGTGGGGGGGGTGGGGGGGGGGGGGTCGTTGTGGGGATACAAGGCCAGGCCTGCCACTGATGGAGTGGAAGTGCATTTAAAGGTGTGTGTGTGTGTGTGTGGACGTGCATGGTGCATCTGTGTGTGTTTGTGCATGTGTGAGCGGAGGGGGAGCAATATTGCATTCATACTTCAATTTTATAGGAACATTCTGAGCCAAATCTGAAGCAGGTTTCAACTGAAGAAAATCCTTTTGTACTTTTGAGGAAAATTTTTGCAAGTCAAAGATTTGATGACCCAAGCTAATGCAAACATCCTTGCACAATTTCATTACAACTACGGTATGGTTCATATAGCTGCGTCAAAGTATCAGAGTCCCAATTAGAGCTGTCACTTACAAAAAAGAAAAAAAAATATGAACAAACATGTAATTTGTTCTAATGAATTCAAAAGACGCACACTTAGTCTAATCATAGAATACATTGTAGAAATTACTTTGTTCCATGCATCTGTGGTGCCTCCACTGCTTCACTGACTAACAACCTAATAGGTGACTTCATATTTGTTGTCATGGTAACCATGCTGCAACGACAAACAGACTCACCTTTACCCACAATTTTTTTTTGTATCTATGGTAGGGGTGCAACAAACGATTATTTGTATCATCAGTTAATCTGCCAACTCGTTTAAAATGGCAGTGAAAACTGTTGGCTATAATTTTCCACAGCCTGAGGTGATGTATTCAAATTGTGTGTTTTACTTGACAAACATCCCAAAACCTAAAGATATTCAGTTTACTATTAGATATGATGAAGAGAAACAGCACTCCTCTCCTATTTCTTAGTTTAAACCAGCAACTGTATGTTGTCTGTAACAATGAATCAATTACTAAAATGGTTGCCAATTACTTTTCCGTCAATCGACTAAATGATAAATCGACAAATTGTTGCAGCTCCAATCTGTGTAGGTATGTTTGATGTAAGCCTGTAACTTCCAAGTCTCCTCTACTCAAAAATGTAATCACAACTACTTGGTAGGTTATGTGAACATTGGTCTGCTTGAAGTGCTTTGTATTTTCTCTTGCATGTTTCCTGAGTCAGTAATGTTTGCCTTCAGGTAAGAGCAGGTTGATGACATCCTGCTGGACATTTACCCAACCATCAAAGAAATCATGTAATTTTGGCTAATTGAGGAAGCGCTGTTTCTGTACACCATGTAAACGCTGATTTCAACTTTTACCTTAATCTAGATAAATCACAGCAATGAAATACACTAAACACAAAAGAAAATGTATATGTGACTGTCAGAGCTGAGATATTACAACACATCTTAAACATTTTAACATTTGAAAAATTTGAGCTATCATTTCTTCATTCCGCCATTTTTCCACGATCGTGCCCCTGTGTCAATATGTGTGTATTTATGTGTGTGAACGGCTGCTATCAGGCTGACAATGCCTGAGTGAGTGTGCGAGTGTGTGTGCATATGTGTGTGCCTGCTGGCTGGCTGTTGGTGGAGAGAGCAGTGCGGCGGCACAGATTAGATGAGATTAAAGCCAGTCAGAGGATCAATTAGAGGCAAAACATCAGACGGCTACACAGCCACGGCCAGCAACAATGAGATTAGCCCCGAGGTGGAGCAGAGAGCGGGCGAGCACATCTGTGTGTGCGTGTTTGTGTGTGAATGTGTATGTGTGGAGAGAGACAGGGGAAAGAGAGGAAATGACGGGGGTTGGGGAGAGAAGATTCACACATACAGTAACTCCAGAAACAAAAAGGGAGCGAATAATCAAAGGACAATTCCAATTTATTTCAATTATGGTCTATTTTTTGTAGTGGGTATGTTATGATATTATAATAATAGTACCACTGTTCTAACCAAATTAACTGTTGAGATCTCAGAACACTGTCAAACTGTCAGACTGCGGGTAAACAAGCCAACAGTGTAGCCACATTCTATATTTTTATTTTCAGATAAAACCAAATGTCAGCGCGCCCAAAATCAGCAATAATCCCTCATTGCAGAGGATTGTGTGTGTGTGTGTGTACAAGCATGGCGAGTACAATAGGAGATACCTGAACCGGGAACTGTGGATGATGGAACAAATTGTGCGTGTTCTAATTTTACTTGGGGGGGGGGGGGGGGGGATTCGGATAAGAACTCTGATTCTCATCTTCAACTGTTCTGAATCAATTAACAACCCCAAAATCTTCTCTCTTCTGGGTTTTCATTAAAAAATGCATGTATTTTACTACTCAGAGGAGTTTTCATGCACCGAAAACGGAATCTGCATCAACTGCTTCCCATTTACACCAGCTCACATATGCCCAGTTATTGCTCATGAATGTATGCGTTTTCAGGAGTGATAGAATGGACGGCGATAGTTTCTGATACGCAGCTCAAGCTGTCGTCTGGACGAGTAGTGTGGACGTAACCTAAGTCTGACTACAGATTTCAGCAACTATCTTGGTGAGTACAGGTTCTGTGAATACATAGAACAGATGGCCAAACTTATGAAAATAAGATCTGAGTTGTAATTAACCGGAATGACCTATTAAATTATTGCATTGCAAAGGGAAGGGGGGGGGGGGTTTGAAAACATAGGAACAACACAAAAGGGAATTTACACAATAATCAAATATTACTTTGGCAAAACATATGGTGACAAAATAACACTCAAGAATCACACATGCACACAGCGTCACTCACCATGATATAATGGCGCTGCATCTCTGACTTCTCACTGGCCAACTTGTCACACTCAAGCTTCAAACTGGGGAGCGAGGGAGAAGAGAGGAGCACAGAGTCAGACCTTGTTAGTCAGCTTGACAGTCCTCCTCCTAAAGTGCTGACACCAGGTGACTTCTCCCTGCTCTTCATCATCATTACCTCCACTTTCACCAACAGCAGTGTCATCACTTTCATCATCACTTCAACCCTCATCACTGCCTCCACATTCATCATCATCAGCACCACTTCTGTTGTCATCATCTCAGCCACCATTACCATCTTTATCATCACCACCACCACCACCACCCCCAGCCCCCTCCATCATCATCATTACTACCGTCATCATCCTCACCTTTACTAGTCAGCAGCACCGTTTTCACCGAGCTTGGCAAAGTGTCAATTGACAGGAGGAGGTCAAACTCATTCTGAACTCCAGAGATGTGTCTAGTCAAAATGTCTGCTTTGTGAATCAGAGAAGAGGCAGTGAAGTAAAAAGTCTAAATATAGTGTTGGAGCGTTTCCTGTGACCCAGTCCCTGCGACAGCCATTAGCTGTAATCATGTCAGAGCTGATGTTATGCGAGGCGACAGGACAAAGGATGACGCGTCAACAAGTCAGCCTGATGTCGGTCTCAGAAGGCATCATCTGATGTGAGGACTGGATAAGACTCAGATCAAATAAAGATATGCGAAGGCACACGGTGGATAGGTTCAGATTTAGGGGAAGTCTGAAACCTGTTTGATGGTGTGTGTATGTTTATGCTGGGATGTTCTTCTCAGCTGTCTGCAGGAATGACAGCCCGATTACAGCCAGTGCCGGCTGAATCTTCATCACTGTTAGTCTTAACTGGCAGACTGAACACAGTGTTACAAGCAGCCAATAACGTGAGCTTATTCTTACAAACAGTATTTTGCTTCTTCTATAATTATCACAGCAGCTGCAGTGTTGGCTGGAGTTAACTTCAGCTTTGGTTCAGTGTTCATCCCTGTCTGAGCTACAGTTTTGTTAATGATGAATATTATGACACTAAAATATATAATTATGCATCTTATTTGATATTTAAAAGACAATTCCAGCGTGAGTTCATGCTTGTGTTTATGGTTTACATATCAGTGGATCATTTTGGTGTTTCAATGATACAGTATATTTGTGTTTTTTACTTTATGTTAATACTTCTCTTGCACGCACTGAAAAAATTAATCCATCTATTTTCTGGCCTGGAAGCTAATACAACATGCATTGGGGAAAACGGCAGAGAAGCACCCTTGAGGTTGCCAGTTCATCATAGGGCAAACACAACACAACAAATTAACTTACAAGTGGACCTGAAGGAATCCCTTATGAACATTAGAAGAATATATAACTTTCCACTGCCACCCCGTCCCCCCAGTTTAGAAACTGATGGTTGAAATATTTATTTTGGAGCACACAGAAATCCGTCATGTAATGACCCAGAATCTGTGTGTTTGTTTATAGGCAGAAACGTCCCCTCCCGTCTTATCTCAGCGCTCATGATGCTCCAAACACTCGCTACACTCATTACACAGAGCCCCTTTCTAAATGTAAAAGTTAATAATCTAATATCAGCATCCTGATGTGTTTTCAATTTTGTTAAATGAGTCTGTCAGCTATTAGTGATCAGTTGCCTTCATAAAAGTCCCACGAGTTGAAACTGAATGAGGCCAAATGATGGCCCTGTGTGCAATTATCCTTAGTTGAAATTATCTTTAATTGTGGTACATTAAAGTAAAAAAGGTTTTTAACAATCTCAAATAATGCTGTAATTATTCAGTTGAGCAGTAAAACACAAGATACTTAAACAGCTGTGTTATTGTTGTTTTTAAGATGTTATTACTGTGATGTCTCTGCAGTGCACCTTCCAATGTGCTGATTTCTATCTGAAGGATTTCACTCTAAAGTAGCATAACTGATATTTGATTAGCATCTACTAGAAGGCTAGCATCTAAAGGTTAGCGCCTTTTTCATTAGACATTTGTCCATTCTAGAAATGGATCAGCTTTCAATAATCCAACGAAGGAATGGAGAACAGATGTCCAAGGTGAGGACATGTCTTCTATTGTAAACATGGTCGGTCCGGTTTACAGGTTAGATGATCATGGTAGCTCACACCACGACATGCAACAGATACCAAACCTGATCAGCTGTCCAGGGGATGGGGCATGCTTTTTTTTTTTGTTGGTGGTGAGGGGTGAATTTATTGTACCGCCTTCTTCCTGTGTGTGAACGAGCAGCCTCCACTTATCCAAAACGCTCCCCTTCCCTCCTACATAAAACCCATCCTGCTATCCTTGTGTTCATGCGTAGGCTATGTGGTGGGTTGTCATGACGACAGGCCTCCCTGCTGCCAGCCTACCTGGGATTGGCTTTGTGCCTCCTCTGATTGGTGCTCAGCAGCCCCTGGGCCTGTACCGCTACTCTCAAACGACACTTTGATGGAGTTTTATTGCCGATTCTTCCGTCTCTAAATCGCTCCTGCTGTCATCTTTATTTTGATTTATGTATTCCCTGATCTATTTATGCATGTGAACGAGGGGAGGGGAGAGGAGGTGGGGGAAGAGGAGGGGGTGTGGGAGGAGGAAGACAGCGACAGCTACAATGCTTGCTACTATACCCGAGGGAACGCCTGCGGTACATTTGCCTTTTAAAGGCTTCAGCACCAGACAAGCACAGCGCAGCAGCAGAGTGCTACAAAGCCCCGTCTGTGGTTCCCAAGCCCCCCCCCATCCCATCCCATTCCCCCTCCTGAGTAAGTAGGCACTGTATGCATGTTCTGTATGCTCAGACAAAAAAGGTATTCTTTCAACTGTGCCCTGTCTCTCTGAAGAGGGTTAAACGGTGCTGCTCACCGTTGTGGGAATTACAAAAACCAAAGGCGAGGAAAAAGACACACACAGTGTTATTGCAGCTTCAGAATCCTCCACAAACAAGAGCGATCAGACCAGAGCCGGGATTTTGCACGCAATATGCCAGGCTTTCATCTGCCTTCGCTTGTCTCGGCAGAGGCAAGCCTCTGGAAGGTTCTCGGAGAACAGGTACAGAGGAACAAACCAACCTCCTCAGGAAGGAAGGCGAGCTTCAAAGACTCCACTCTCACAAAGAGAGGATCTCTCACTGAGATGCAGACCCCGTGGCGTCCCCCCTCTTTATAACTGCTATCAAACGGATCAGTTAAGGTCGGACCAGGCACTTTGGAAGTGCCTCAGACTTCTGGCACTGTAGCGGCATTTAAGCAGTAAAGCAAGATCGATAGCCGAGGGTCAACGAGATTGATTTAGGTATGAGTCAATAAAGGATGTTTCAGTGTGCAGCGTGGTGGTAGAGTTCAGGAATAGAGGAACAAAGGCTGACATATTTATTTCATCACAATCGACTGCTGAGATGTCGCTCAAGTTCAAGCTACATTTTTTGGCAAAGCTTTATTTTACAAGTCCATTATTCCTAATAATTTCCAAATCCTCCCTTTAATGTTTTTTATGAAGAACTAATGCAATTTGGTTATTTTAGTTATATAGTTGTTTTGATCTAAAAAGCAACTTGATTTCCAGAGGAAATTCCTTGGAATAACTTAAACTCCATTTAAACCAAAGTAAATGTTTTGTCATTATTAATTTTTATTATATAAAACATTATTCTTCATACATGTATAATTGTGTGCTTGTCTGTAGAGATACATATCTGCATGTTCATCTGAGCAGCGGCACACTGACCAAACGGCTTAGTATTTGATAGGAATTAATGAAGTGGAAGTTGCAAATTACTAGTTAATTTAAAGATAACTAAAAAGTCGTTTTAAAGTGTAACTGTATGTGACGCATGATGAGAAAAAGGGAAAAAAAAGGCCATAAATCCACATCAAAACTCATTTGTGGGTAAGATATGGCAGGTTCTTGCAGCCATACTGTGGTTCAATTCAACATTGTAGCTACTGTTACAAATAGGTGTTCAATAAAGAAAAACACTAAGTGACGCGTGTATAGCCTGGAGATATACTTCTTATTACAAAGAACTATGCTTATCAGGCCGCCATATATAACTGTTTCTGCTTGGTGTTTGCCTGTGTTAATGTGTCTGTGCATAAAAGTGTTTCTGTTTGCACCTGTGGTATTGTGCTTGGAGGAACTGGAACTCATCCTTGATCCTGTCACAGGAGTCAGAGGTTGTGAATTTCAGCTGCTGCGATGAAGCCTGCCAAAGAGAAAAACACAAGAGAAGAAAAAATAAGGACCGAGTGGAAAGAGTAAGAGTAAGACAGAGGAGGAGGGGTGAACAGAGAAAGGGAGCCGAGTCAGAGAAGTAATCAAAAACATGAACATAAAAATCAAGCAGTTTTCAATTTGATGCAGTCCAATGAGTAATGGCATTACTAAGAAATCGGCTGCCAAGTATGTTTCCACACACAAGGGGCCAAACACATAAAACCCTGTGAATATTCAAGACTAAAACCATGCATGCACAAAGCATAAACATGCGTGCCCATTGTTTCTGCCAGATTTCTAAACCCCCAAATATACGCTGCTCTGTTATATATCTCAATCACTGTGAAATTATGTGCGTGCACACAGACCTAAACCACACACAGCCACAATTAGCCATGAATGGATATTGACACTCCCATATTTAACCTTCAATAGATACAACCCAGACTCTGTCTGTCCTTGCTCTGGCATTGGCAGCGTCTTTACGAAGCCGAAGAAACCTTAAAAGTTATTACCCTCGGCCATTATGAACAATAGCGTATGTTGTGAGCAATAGCAGGCGATTGATTGATGACACACGCGTGAGTCAAACTTCTAATCCAATATGTGTTAGTGCTTCAACATTCCTTATTGTTATTCCAACATTCAGTTTGGGTGACAATATGTAAACCTGCTTACTCAAGCTAGAATAAATCATGCTTGTATAAATAAGGAGGGTAACACAGATTATAAATATTTTTATTGGGAACTCGGTTGAGACTGTGTTGAGCTCTTTGATGTGTTAAAAGATTTAGCTCCAAATAAAATGTCTGTTAAATTCTCTGTTTGACGTCATCCTTCTCCTTGCCACATTGCGACATCACACAAGCTGTGCCTGTATGCTTGTAGTAAAGCGTGTGTGAAGCGAGACTAGGTGATACTGTAAGATCATCTACCACAGTATAAGCAAACTATAGAGTATATCTCAATGGAGATACATATTGTGAGATTGTGTGATATAAAAACGTTTTTAGAAAAAACAACCAAATCAGAATGTGGCTAATCCAGTGACTTAAAAAATACCTGACAAATCAATGGACAGCCCCACAATGCAATCACCAAGTAACATTATACATGTAGCCCCAGAAACTGAGAGTTGGTGAGTTGGCCCACATCCCATAAGCAAAACAAGATAAACAGACACAATACACATAAATACTATGTATTTTTTCTAACTAATTGCCGCCTATTGTCGTTACTTAATAAAATGTAACATATAGCTCTTTGTTACAGATTCTACTTTTCCTCAGTTGTTCTCCACAAGTTTTTTGGAACGAGTTTCTGGAACAAAATTTCAGCTCCGCTCAGGAGGTAATACTAAATGCAAGTTCCAGATACTTTGAGCAGCTGCCTGCAGTGCTGCTGAATGTGACTGGTCAAGCAGATGTTTTGTCACATCACAGCAAGAATGACGACCACAAACACTTTGTATGGTGTCTGGCACATGTGTGGGCTACAACACAGCCAAAAAGTGTACGAAAATAAAATAAAAAGATGAAAAAGCAACATAATAGAGGATCACAACGTGTGCAGTGGAGCAAACCAGAAAGCTATAAAGTGGTTTAACATGCTAGACATTGTTTTGAGGCACCACCAGCTTGTGCCTTCCCCAGCTGTGCCCTTGATTCAGCTTAAATGTGACAGAAAATCAACAATATCTGCAACACTCCTTACTGTTGTCTGTCCACAGCAGCCTACATCACTTATTTACCAAACAGCACATAAAAATGATAAGGTAGATCTCATTGATGCTTTTTTAATTACTTATATGCAAAATGTCCACTTAAATGCAACAGAAACACAAGGAAGAACTACAGAGTACAGAGATTACACACTACAGAGGTTCTTAGGGTATAGCACATGTTGTCAATTTCCTGTAGTGGAAAAGGGTTTCAATGTTACCTGCTCTCTGCACAGACAACAAACAGTAAGGTCTTAGCTCAGAGCATTTCCATAATGCCCACTGTGGTCCTATGTAGCCTAGTACTGGCCTAGTCGGGGTTAGTGGTTTTATAGTGGACCCTGCCATACTCTAAATGTTCACTGAAAGGCACGCTGGATAAAACTCTGCACCAAATGCCACCCATGTCATGTCAGAAGACTTCCTCTGGGCCTTTTACAGACAGCTACATCATCGTTCTTTCACCTAGCCTGAATGTTGCTATTAGCCCTTATTGTAATTCTGTCCACACTACATTCCCCAGGCAGCGGTGGATGGCCTGGTTGTGTGTTAGAGCACAGCAAGCATCAAACCCAAATAGGGACAAAATCTCATTATTTCTCAGCAGGCTGCATAATGGGTCAGGTGGGGGAAAAAAAAAAAATCGACATTTTCCCACTACGATTGAGCAGGCATAAAAAAACCATCAGAAATCTGATTGCAGCACTTACGGGAAGCTAGCCCGCTGCTGTTAGGAATGACCTGTCGCTTTGTACCCTGCTCCCCACGGCATGTCGCTCAGCTTCATTTTTAACTACAAATAGGCTGCTTCACATTCACAGAACCATGGCCAGAGAATATGCTAAGCAACAGGATTGCTTCAGGTTGTAGGAATAGACCTCTTGCTTCAAAGGCTGAATTATTTTTTGCTTTGTGGTTCAGTAGGCAGTGCTCGGCTCTGACATGCTTAGGGGTTGGGGATGAATTCCTGCTGTAGCTTCCCAGGGTATAGACATATACTGAAGGTGTTAAATATCAGTTTGGATATTAAATTAAGTATTTTAGATAATGTACAAAAACACCCACATTTGGGAAACTCAGAAACATTAACGTTGGAAGAGACATACTGACAGTTAGGAGGTCATTCAAAAAACAAAACAAAACAGAGCCCTGCAAAACAGTGACGAGCACAGTGACCTCAGCCATTACACTTTCAAATGTCATGAGAAGTGCTGACATTATCATCCTGCTGCCACACACACGAACCCCCAATCCACCCAAACCTAGCTGCTGCTCGGAGACAGAGGCTGCGACTGTAAAGCAAAATAACCTTTTCCATTATCTCTCCAGCCAGTATGGCATGGACCAAACTCAGCAAACAACAGCTCGGCTATATGGGTCTGTGCCACACAGAGCCTGTGTCAACACAAGGCACTTAGCTACAGGCAGCCACACTGCAGTAACTGCTCCCTGTACTGGCATGGTTTCTGAATACTGTGTGTGTGTGTGTGTGTGTGTGTGTGTGTGACTGTCTTCTGTTGATGTGTGTGTGTGTGTGTGTGTGTGTGGTGTGTGTGTGGTTTTGTGTGTATTTGTGTGTGTCTGCATACAGGTTGCCCCTTGTGCCGGAGGGCAGAGTTGTTGCCCTAGATCCCATTTCCTCTCTGTGTAGCGCAGTATGCAAACGTTTAAAATACCAAAGTTTCTCTTAGTCAACAGCCGCAGGTCGGGCATCCTGTTCCACAGGGAATACAGAAGGAGGCAGAGAAGCGGACAGAGGAAGGCAAAGACAAGGGGAAGGAGGGTAAGAACAGGAGAGCATTTTAAAGGCAGGACATCATAAAACCCAACAAAGACCAGGAGGGGCATATTGGGATTTTTATTACTCAGTACAATACCCTTTCTGTGTAACCTCCACAACACTGTATGAGTCTAGTTCAATCTGCTCGCAATTCTGGAAGTGGCAGCAAAAAGTAAAAATATTTCCAACTCATCAAATTAAAATTTGACAAAACATAGTGTCAGAAGCATTTATAAACAAAGTGATAGCTTAGATTTCTGAGTCTCAACTCCCGAACTTCAATCATTCTTGTTAAGTTATGCTTTATTGTGATCTTTATAGTCATCACTATACTTCATAACATGCCTTTATATGCTGTTGAGAAGTTGTAGAAACCATAACATTAAGCAGGACCTGACAGCAAGTTTTACAGATGGCTAAAAGGCTGAAACCAGTCATCGTTTTCTTTTGTTGCCTAGGGTGACTGAATGGTTACAGTATTTTAACTATGTATAACTGGAGTGATGATAGCCCTGTGTATATAGGCCAAAATAAGTTACTGTTGTAAAGATACTTTTTTGGTCTCTGTCTTTGTTAGTCACACACGAACAGACCACACCTAAACATAAAAGCAAATGGCTCAGTTTAACTAGTTAGGCAAAAAAGTTTACTGTGATTGACAAATACAGGCATACTAAATTTATATTCTGTATATGCATGGTAATGTGTTTGTAGTTTAAATTACATCTGGTTGAATAGTTAACTTCTTTGATTGTAACCTTATCTGTAGTTTGTAAATTGGGTCAAATCAAAGCTGTGTTAATATTTTTGATCTGGATAAGCAGTGAAAAAATGAAAATTGAAAAGGTGGTTTTGTTCTTTAGAAGACATTACACTGTGTTTTCTCAAGGTTTATTTATTTTCAGAAACATGTTGTCTATTGTGTACCTGCTGCTTATCAGCCCTTCTACGACTCCAAACTTTTGATGGTATTTCTAAATGTCATTTGCTGTGGTAGCTTTTCTAGTATAATTCAGTTTCGTGGATTAATAATGTTCATCAGCTGTCATTTAAGCTTTTGTTATACTCTACACTTTATTTTGTCCTCTACACTTTCAGCTTAGTAATTCTGATGGGCTGAATCATTATGACAGCAACACTCTCATTCAGGCGGAAGATTCTACACAAAAGGCAAGAGATACCATGTTTTTAAACATGGGAATAATGGCTGCTTGAAGAGTTTCACCAAGCAAATAGATTTCTAACATAGACCAGAACTTGATGCCTGGCATTAATTTTCAAGCTTGGCCTGAGGTGATGTTATGGTAAACACTAGCATAAAAACTTGCTAAGAGTATAGGAAGGGAACAGGTATAATTTAAGCCATAGTTTTGTACTAAAAACACATCAACTACACAACTCCTACACCCAGGTGAAAGGACAGAATCTAAGTCCACTGTGGCAATCTTAGATCAGTCATATTCATTATTTTGCTCTGTGAATGATGTTA